AATCTATCTCAAGCGTGCAATTATGTGAATGATGTGCAATTGCATTGGCGTGGTTATCAGTGAACACATTGAATTTCAGCATGATAAACCTGTGACTAAATCCGATGGTATACTTCCTTCAAGAGATTCTTTTCGTGGATCGATCTGCAGTTCATTTGAATTCTGATATTCGACAAGTTATTCCTTCTGATAGTGCTGACCGTATTAATGCAATAATGCAACTATGATATTCAGTTGAAATGCAGCCGACTCGAAATGACACGAGAGGACAAAAATTGAAAGAATTCATTTCGCTGGATTTTTTTGATATTCTCATTCAAAACAATAAATCCATGTTAGGATTGTATCAACAGTAAAAATATTAATAATTATAATAACAAGAATAATAATACCACGGAAAAGGAGAGTTGAACCAGTCGAACATCTCGAGATCTGATCGTATTTCAAGCCATAAGAGTAATATTTGTGATCACTTTCAAGATTTTGTCGTCGTGTAATGCGCGACGGAGTACGTTCATGTTGTTTGAAAACGTCTAACTTGTCAAAAAAGGTTCGTTCTTAATTGTGTTGTCACCTTCTTGACAGAAAGGTATCATGATTTTCCTAGTTCATAAATCCTGATTGTATGATAGGACTCTGAACAGATTCGGTTTGACAGAAAATATCGACCAGATTTTTCCTTAGTTCTTTCTCAGGCAATCATCGTTTCACTAGCTTCTCTGCTGAACTTTTGTCATCGAGGACGACTTGTTCAAATCTTGTTATCTTATAATTCATTGTTTGGTGACACTATTATTTATGTGCTAATCGATGCTGTCATAAAGCGCTGCTTATGATTGGCCAGTGAAAATGCTCCGGAACACGAATGGTTTCTGCAAGGAACATAGCTGAACATTCCAAAAAATTGAATAATCAGTTGAAATTGTTGCCGGGAACGCATAAATTTTCGGTAGTCTTCAACTACCAAGCCCAAAATTGCAAAAAATTGGCTTCTTGAGCAAGGAAGTATTTTAAATGAGACTGATGATTGTTCGGATTGATGCCGTGAACATCCACTCATAATGAATCCATAAAATGTTATCACGTTGTCTTGTCAGACTTGACAAATGCACCCATAATTTCAAAAATTATTTTGTATTGTTAAATCGTACTCCTCAAGTCGTTGCCCTCGAAGACTCATCTTGAAGTAACACAGTGGACTACTACTGCTTCTAAGAATTCTTATTCGAGGAGATGATGACTGATGTTGATAGGGTGTGATTTCAGTTTTTTGGCTTCGTTGTCTCGCATGTAGGGCTGTGCGTGTTGGTGGCCGCTTATGCGGTACTGGGTGCTTTTATGTTCCGCGAAATTGAGTATCCAGAGGAGCTGAAATTTCAAGGGCACATCCAAAATGACACGTGGACGGTTGGTTTCATCAGACCAGTTCCGATTGAAGTTTTGCTTATGATCCCCTCTAGAATTTTGAGATGGACGAACTGATTGATGATAAGTAATCATTCAGAAATTATCAGAATTTGATGGACTTGTCGATTTTGTTCTCGCGTGAAAATCGCTGCTGTATGCAACGTTACTAAATACTTGCGTTGTTGATCTCAAAATCTAGGATGACAGTCTCAATTTCTGTTTGATAGATTCGGTTTGGAAATTCTTGACAATTGCTTTTCTTGACTGAGTCATAGTTCCGAGAGAGAGAGAGAGGAAACTGAACGTTGCTCTTAAGGTGGTAGCGGAACTGTACAAATTTATTGATGGAAGTGATGTGATCGAAGAACTCGAAGTGAAGAATAAGGCACATGAATTGCTCAAAAACTTCGAATTGCAGCTTGTTAACGCCGTCAATTTTGAAGGTATTCGGGCAGTTGCTATTTTTATTCTGCTAATCACTTGCGGTTTCTGTGTAATTATTAATTTTTACTTACAAATAAGAATGCAAATAGCCAATTTTGTTGAGCATACCTATAACTGTCTTGGACAAGTGCTTCAATCTAACATATTATCTTTGCCATGTTATTCAGATGATGCTCAAAAAATAAAATTAGAACGTTTACAGTTTTAGTGGTGCCAACATAAAGTTTCCATAGTGTGCGTGATCTGAAAATGATGAAAGCATAAGAATATGCAAGCAGAAATTCGCATCGAATAGTTAAGCCAAATTTGTGCCAATGAGCGATAACTTTTGATCAGTGAGAATAGACTGTAATGAGGATAGTGACTAAAACAGTAATAGGAACAAGCGAAATAAGTTCTTAAAAAGTGAAATTGACTCATTCAAGTAAATAAATTCGCAGTTTGAATTCATGAAGATGGATTAAAGTTCATAATGCATTCAGTCAAGTGAAGTTGATTGCAGGCTATGATGGAAAAGATGATGCTGTTCCCACCTATCAGTGGACATTTTCCGGTGCTCTTTTATTTTCTATTACAGTTTTCACTACAATCGGTGAGTTACTTCCTGATTCAACAACTTTCTATTTGATCACGCTGTGAGCATTTGATCCCGCTGATTAATCCTCAGTGATTCATAAAGAATCGCTAAGAAATTGTTACAACAATGAATACGATTAGGTGAACGATATTTTTCAATCGTCACTTGTATGCATTTCTTTTCACTCGGCAATCATTCGTGGTGTTAACGATGATATGCTTCAAATGATAATACTGTTATCACAATATTCGCATCCATGACGTTATTATAAATTACAGGGTACGGTCATATTTGTCCAAAGACTCCACTGGGTCGTGGTTTGACCATTCTTTATGCAATGGTTGGAATACCTCTTATGTTATTGTGTTTGGCGAATATTGCCGAAAGTCTTGCTCAGGTTTCATTTCTAATCTCCATAACTTGCTTAAATTTCCTTGCATGATTGAAGACAGATTCGGTTTATGAATTCTTGAAAATCACTCATTCATCGAGTCATACTTCTGAGAGAAAACACTTCTGAAAATTGCTCTTAAGGTGGTAGATGATTCTCTAGAGAGAGAAAGCTTCAAATGATCGCTGGATTCCTCTTTTCTTTGGCTTCCAGCCTGATTGACTCTATGAACAGTATGGATTGTAGAATTTTGATCAAGTTGGCAAATAGCGATGTTGCGTTTGATATCGTTGATGATGATTGCAGGTGTTTACGTTCGTTTATTTTAAAGTTTGTTGTGCATATTGCCGTTGGCAGAAGAACAGACGTCGCGTCCGACGTGCTGCGCTCAGTTTTCGATATCATCCGAATGCAGCGATGAACGTGAGGAGAGGTACTGTTCACTTCACTTCACGATCCACTTTTCATTCTCTCACATTAAAATGTAGCCATAACTGCAACATAACCCGAAATGTTCCTTCGAGAACGATTGCTCTGTCGGAGATAACTACTGTATAAAGCACGACGGATATTGTGCTGCTGCATATTCTCAAGATAATTTCTTTAGAATGGATACGTTCTTCAACTTCTTGAAGAGAGAAACCTTCAAAAGATCATTCAAATTCTCTTTTCGT